AGAGGCCTGTTCCCCGCCTCTGCCCTTCGTCATGTTCAGAGCTCAGCATGCGACTGGACTGCTCCCTTGGCCCAGCTGTGACAGCCCACCAGGCTGCTCCCCTCGGCAGACACCTGAGCACGCACACACCTGAGTCTGGCCATCTGAAACACCAGCTGGCCAGGAAGGGCACTGGGTCACAGGGATCAGCAACATGGAGGCCTGCAGTCTGGGGGTGTCCCTAGTGTGGCCGACAGGCAGGAGACTGGCGAGGCAGCCACTGTGGCCGCCTGGGGCTCGGCTCCAGCGAGGGGCGGCACGGTGACCTGCAGGATCGCTCGGGCTGCCAGGTGGGAAGATGGAGGGCCAGGCACGGGCAGGACGACCCCGTGAGGAGGCTGGGATGTGGGGGTGCAGAGACACACTCGGCCGGGATCTGGGGGTTCTGCAGGGGAGCTGACACGCTGGTGTGGACCAGGGGAGAAAGCAAAGGACACACGACACCCAAGGAAGAGGGATCTGTGCTGGGATGACCACGTGTCCCGACACCCACGTGCACCCAGACCCTCAGAATACACCCAGAGAGGCTCCCACAGTGTGACGGTAAAGGGTCTCCAGGCCTCAAACCAGGAGGGTCTCCAGGTTTACTTTTTCTTTTTGAGGACAAGTCTCACTCTGTTGCCCGTGCCAGAGTGCCGTGGCGTCAGCATAGCTCCCAGCAACATCCAACTCTTGGGCTCAAGTGATCCTCCTACCTCAGCTTCCCGAGTAGCTGGGACTACAAGCGTGTGCACCACCACACCCGGCTAATTTTTTTTCTATTTTTAGTAGAGACGGGGTCTTGCTCTTACTCAGGATGGTCTTCAACTCCTGGCCTCAAGTGATCCTCCCACCTCGGCCTCCCAGAGTGTTGGGATCACTGGATAGAGCTGATCTCTGGCTGATCCTCCTGGTTTAGAGTTAGCCTAAACCCAACGATTGGTGTCCTTAAGATAGGGACAGGGACACGTGGAGGCCACGTGAAGGAGGCAGAGGCGGAGCGAGGCCATGAGCCGAGGGACGCCTGCAGCCAGAAGAGCCTTCGTGATCCCTAGCACTGCCCTTCCCACAGGAGGATCAACGTCTGTTGTTTTGAGCCACCCATTGGTGGCACTTTGTTGGGGCAGCCCCAGGATACTGCTGGAGAGAGGACAAAGCTTTGTCTTCCAACAGGTCACGGACTCTCCCACCGCAGCCTGGCGGAGCGGGCCTGTGGGTGGGCACCGCCTGGCCCGTGTCCAAGTGGAGCCACGAGCACATGCCAGGGCCGCAGGGCCCCCTGCCCCTCCCTGGGCTGCCTGCCAGGATGGCCGAGCAGGTGGCCAGGAAGCCCTGCCCCGACTGGGAGACACCTGGGGCGCCCAGACAGCACGGCTCACTCCTCACGCACCCACCGCCCAGCACAGAGCCGACTCCGAGCCCGCGAGGGAGCTGCCGCTGCCAGCTCCAGGCAACCAGCATGCGGAACGACGAGTCCATGGGTGGGCACTTTGGGTGGCGTTGTCTTGGCTCCACGTGGCTCCTCACGTGTCTCAGATGAGCCTGGCGCCTGCCGGGGGACCAACCTGTGTGCAGTCACACGCTGGGCGCTGGCAGGTCCCAGAGGACAGTGCAGAAGCTGTGAGGCCCTTGGAGGCCAGGTCTCAGGACACATCACTTCAGCTTCTGCTGGTCACGGGGCAGCCTGGGGTGCAGGGTGAGGAGGCAGACTCCACCCGCCAGGAGCAGAAGGGCCCCGTGCCACCAAGATCCTAGCCCTGGAAACGGGGCGAGCGCCCCCTTGCTCCCATGCCCACGGCCACTGTGGCCCCACTGAATGCCAGGAAAGGAGCAGGCAGGAGGGAACCCCTGGGCACAGGGCAGGCCCCTCACCCTCAGAAGCCGCAAGGCTGCGCCAGTGAACGGGGAGCTCTGGAACACGGGACGCAGAGCCCGGCGGTGGCTCCTGGTCTGCAGTGGGTGAGTGGAGGGGAACTTTGCCTCCTGAAGCTGGGGCCCGCGTCTTCAGCCTGCATGGAGCCGCCTGGCGGGAGCCCTGCAGGCGACGGCTGATGGGAGAGTCTGGGGGCCTCGCCCACCGGCCCTACCCACTGCCCTCGAGGAAGCTGGTCCAGAGGGGACAGGAGGCCGAGGACACCGACAGGAAACATCCAGGAAAGAGGGAAGCTGGCCTGCTGGAGCGTCTGGGAAATGTCACCCATCGGTGGGGACAGAGGTCAGAAGACAGAAAACGCCCGGAGAGGCAGAGGAAGGGAGCAAAACTGCACAGGGCAGAGCCCACTCCCCACATCGGGGGCCAGGCAGGCTGCCGTGGCTCTGGGTCCAAGGCCACCATGTGCCACCCTAAGGCAGATTCCAGGTCACTGTGTTGGGGGCAGCAGGAGGTGGGCCGAGAAAGCAGAGTCCTGCTCCATTGTGGCCACGGAGAGGGGCCAGCAGCCAAAGCACAGACAATTATCGGACTCTGCAGCTTGACGGATTGCGGAAACCAATCCTCACGGAAGCAGCAGGTGGCAGCGATAGTGCACAGGGGGGTCTGGGGGTAGAGACGGATGCACGTCAGAAGAAACTTTGTTTGAAACAGGGGGCAGGCTGGGTGCGGGGCTCAAGTCTGTAATCCCAGAAGTTCAAGACCAGCCTGGGCAACAGCGTGAGACCCCATCTAAAAAAACAAATAAAGGACTGTTGTTTTTCAGTATGAGTCTTTTAGCACACTTGCCTCTTAGAAATAGTTTCAAACTCAGAGAAACCTAAACAGACCCAATACCAGCCACCACCCACTTGCTCATCCCCCCAGTACTTACAGGCCGCCTTCTCTGGGACGGGTCCTCTGAGGCTGCTGGGGGCACAGCCGGGGACAGAACGAGACCCTGCGCCCAGAGGCAGCCTGAGCACCCTGTGGGTGCTGAGAGCAGGGGCCGCCCCACACCTGCCAGCAGCTTTCTGGCCCAGGAAGGCAGCGCTGACCATCCCAGCAATGCTGGAGCCTCCACGTGCCTGCCGTGGCGTGGGTGCACGCCACTCACAGGACGCGCCCACAGACAAACCCACAGGGACAGAACGTGGACCAGTGGGTGCCTGGGGGGATGAAAACGTTCTGGGATGATGGTGATGGTTGCACAACCTTCTGAATACACCGAGAGCCACCAAGCTGTACACTTCAAAGTGGTGAATTTTACAGTATGTGGATTATACATCTCAATTTTAAAGACTGTGGCAAAAATTTGTTTCTAAACCAAAAGCATGGTAACCAGAAAACTCTGCGGGGAAACTGAGTCTAGCTCTACCATCCTAGACAGGAGAGTGGTAGGGAGAAAAGCAATCGACCCTTAAAGCATGGAGGCAAATGCTCTGCGTGGCGGGAGGAGTCGTGGCGTTTCGCTGTAAGCAAAATTTCAAGCAACCTCAGCGCCTGTGGCTCCCCACGCGGGAACGAAAGCTCAGCAGAGGGCAGCTGGCGGGGCCCTCGAACACAGTCTGCCCAGGGAGGCCGCCAGGGCTGTACCCCGCGGGGAGGCCGGGCTGGGGGCCCCGTGACGGGGCGGGGCGGGCGGCACCCTGAGTGCCCAGCGCAAAGATGAAAGCCACAGATAATTGACGCTCTCAGGCCTGGGTTGACTCCACAAAATCCTTTGTGGTGGCCTGAAAGGAAAAGCAAATAGATGCAAAAGCATCCTGGCTTCTAGAACACAAGGACCTTTGAAATTATAAGACATTAAAATAAAGCTCCTGGGTAAAAGGACTCTCCCGTTACACCGCAGACTCGACGCGAGATCAAAACAGCGTCGCTCCTGAGAGCCCCGGCGCGGCTCATCATCCAGGCGCACCCCACGCCAAGGTGTGGAGCGGCCTGGGACCCCTGTGTGACCCTCACCTGTGGCAGTCTCCCCAGAAAGCTGAAGGTGCCCTCTGATCACCTCCTTTCGTCAAGCCCCCGGGGCCACGTGGTGCCTCCAGCTGCCGAGCTGTCCTCGCCCGCCTGGCGCAGCCAGGGAAGACGCCGGCAAGGTGCGGGTGTGGCGCGGCACGGACGCAGTTGGTTCTGAGCGCAGAGACTTCACCCACAGGCAGGAAAGAGTCTGCTTCCCACCTCGCGGCAGCTTCGGGGGAAACAAGAGACGCCTGCCGCTGCTGCCCAGCCTCAGGAAGAAGGCTGGACTCGTTCCCCACGAGAGCAGGTGAGGCTTGGTAGCCACCTGGCCCAAATTACAAACAAAGGGAGCCAAGCAGAGCTGCAGCCCCGTGTTCTCGGGCGCCAGTCTCCTGCCGTTTTCTCACCACACCTGTGCGTGCCGCAGCCACCTGTTGGGAACGCAGCCCACGATGCCGGGCCACGCCCCTCTGGCTAGCACCTCGCTTGTGCACACTGAAGCTGAGCTAGGAACGGCGTGGCCGGGACGGATGTTGGGTGCGTTCAGTCGTGAAGCCGCCAAGCTTCTTGGCATGCGGCTGGCGCAGCGCGGCGCTCTGAGAACAGGAAGGAGCCGGCCCTTCCTGCTCTCCGCAGACGGCTGACAGCTGAGGCAACCACAGAGCTGCACCTGCTGCTGCTCTGGAGACGCTTCCTGTCCTCAGGGCCCCCACGCAGCAGGGAGCATCCCTGGGACACTGGCACTCGGCCTTGCTGCACGGCAGGGCTGCTGGGTGGCCGGGCAGCCCCAGTCCCCCTGTGGAACCCAGAGGCCCACCTCTGCAGCCGGCCCCGGCAACGCGAGGGCGCAGCGCTGAGGATCTACACCCGCCCCGGGCCCCAGCCACGCCCTTCTGATGGCCCCACCGAGGGGCTCCCGCCTGCACGGCGGCAGTGTTGGCAGCAGCAGTAGCGCTGGCCCCTCCTCAGGGTGCTAATCAGCACAATGAGTCCATCTCAGCAAACCGGTCAGCAGGTGACAGGTGTGCAAAACAAGGGGCACGGAATGTCCCACCACCCAAGGGAATCCTAGGCCTGAGCCGACGCAGGACCCAGAGCACGGGCACGCCCAGATGTTCACAGAGCACTTTCTATTTCACACTCAAAGCCGCCGACAGTTTACACTCGGGTTTGCTCTTGCGGGGCCTGGAGGCCGCTTGGCCTACGCTTGGCGCCAGCCCGCGGTCCTTGCAGGGCGGCGACGGCGGTGCCTCGGCTACCACCGCAGCGGCTGGCGGCCCTGCCGCAGCTCGGCCTCCGCGTCGGCGTCGTGCAGCTCCTTCAGCCGCAGCAGCAGCTGCTCCAGGTTCTCGCCGGTCAGCGCCGACAGCGCCACGACCTCCCGGCCCAGGCGCTCCCGCAGCAGGGGCAGGCTGGCGCGGGCCTGGGGGAGGTCGATCTTGTTTGCCACGACCACGTGGGGCCTCGCGGACAGGCCCTCCTCGTACTTCTCCAGTTCGTACTTCAAGTCCTCAACCTGCGTCCAGGGCTCCGGCAGGGCGAGGTCCAGGACGAGCAGGAGAAACCGGCAGCGCTCTATGTGCCTGAGGAAGGCGAAGCCCAGGCCCCGGTTCCGGTGGGCGCCGCGGATGATGCCGGGGATGTCCGCCACTGTGGGAGACAGCGCCCGTCACCACCCAGCCTGCCCAGCGACGCCGCCCGCAACCTCAGGCTGGGAGGGGAGCCCTGGAGCCCACCCCGGAGGCGGGTTTCCCAGGGTCTAAGACCTTCCTTCCCAGGACGGCCTGGGACGGAAGCTGCCTGACCCGCCGCCTTGCTGATTCACTGGGCCGACTGACATCGGGAAATTTCAGCTTTCAGCTTTGAAAAACTCTTTGAAGTATTTGGGTGACAGGCATGATGATGGATCGGTCTAATAACGAACATTTAACACCCCCTTATCTTTCTGGCTTTAAAAATGATTCAAAAAGGGGAAAATGGCTTCCTGTACTCTCTCAATAATTTGATTACAGATAGAAATTATCATAGAGCACTTTGCAAACATAAAGTGCTATACAAATAACCCTACCAGCAGGCTTACTATTTTTAATGGGGACATTATCTTCTGGAAAAGCTTCCTTCTCTCCAATGGTGCAGGGAAAGCTAAATCACACGTGGTCAACGTGACTGGTGCCGCCGGGTCCCCAGATAGGGGGCAAGACCAAGCGCAGGGAGCAGGGACGAGGCCCCGGCCAGACATTCAAACTCGGCGCCTGAACAGTAACTGACAGACTTGGGGTGGGGGGGGACCCGAATTTTGACAGAGAAGGCTCACTGACACTGTTCACAGTAGAAGATGCCGCATTCCACGCAAGGAAGCAACACGGAAGAGCTACGAAATTACTTCTCTGAATCACATCATGCAAAGGCAGCCTTTGACAGGCGTCTGGAAGCTCTACCTGCGACTTGCTGGTGGCCCTCGTAGTGGACGATGCCAACGTGGGGGTTCAGGGTGGTGAACGGGTAGGCAGCCACGGCGGGGCGCGCGTTCGAAATGGCACGGAGGAGCGAGGACTTCCCGGCATTGGGGAATCCAACCTGGAAGAACAGCGAACACGGTCACATGACTCTACGGCAGCAGCTTCAGTACGGCAGCGTGGTCACTGACCGCGACCGGCGAGAGTTCGGTACTGGGGACTCCTGAGGGCGCACGCGCGAGTCAGCGGTCGCTGCCGAAACCGCGAGCTGCGCTTCCCCCTACGCCACCAGACGGCCCCCTCAGGGACGTTGGAACTGCTACAGTTCAACGTGGACACAGATGCCAGCGGCAGGGGACACCTACCATCCCAGCGTGGGCCATCGTCTTCAGCTCCAGGTAGAGAACTCGCTCCTGACCCAGCTGCCCGGGGGTACAGGTCACAGGGGCGCGGTTGTCGTTGGCCAGGAAGAAGCGGTTGCCTTTTCCTCCCGCTCCCCCCAGCGCGGCGATGTACTCGTCACCTGGGTGGGACAGGTCTGCCACAATGTCGTTTCCCTCCTTCACCAGCGTGCCCATGGGGACCTGAAGAAGCAGGCGTTCACCAGGCCGAGCCCATGAGCAGTGACGAGACCGTGTTAACTCGCTCTGTGGCGAAGGCCGAGGGGGGAGGCAGGCGGTGCCTCGGTGGCGGCCTAGCTTTGGGAGGGGGAGGCAGGCAGGGCAGCACCAAGGACCTCTGAGGAGAAGGTCCGAGGCCTCAGGGCATGTCATGGGGCTGGGAACTCACCCCCCAAACCGCAGAAATGGCTCATTCAACAGCGTTTCTAAAACACTAGGCTTACACCGAAGCACCCAGAAAAAAACAGCTGATCTAAGAGGAGAGTAGACCCAGCTCACGAAGCAGATCCCGTGGGCTTAGAGGGGTGCTCCTGGGGAACAGCGTGCTCTGCGGGTCCCTCTTTTCAAAAATAATTATTTCATGGTGTTTTTACTAGGCCACACGTGTGCGGCCTGACACTGGCACAGAAGCCCCATCTGGGTCTGTGCTCCAGGGACAGGACTGCTCCCCGACTGCCACTGCCTGCTGCCCGGCCACCGCCGCCTGCTGTGCCGATTCCTGGCCGTGCCCGTAGGCCACAGGGCCCTGTGAGTCACACCCCACCCTGGGAGCTGGATGATCCGGAGCATCGGTGACAGAGCCAGCTCCAGTGGCCGAGGCTTACCCGCACGTAGAGGACGGCTCCGCCCCGCCCAAAGCAGTTCTTGCTGCCGCCGTCTTCTCCGTGGAAGCCCTGGTACTGGGACAGGACTGACGACAGAGACTTGACTTGCTGGTCAACTAAAGTCAGAGCAAGAACTTCACATTCCTTTGTGTTAAAACAACCACGGTCAACTGCTAATGCTTTTTTGTCTAGTTTAGGAACCTTAAAAAACACGTATGGAAACATGGCGCAAAACTGTAACAAAGGTAATGAAACCATCAACATGATTTTCACAAAAAGGTTAAATTCTTATTTTCCTTCAAAAAATACTAACATTTCTGAAAACTTAAAATTACTCATAGGCCGGGTGCGGTGGCTCAAGCCTGTAATCCTAGCACTCTGGGAGGCAGAGGCGGGCGGATTGCTCGAGGTTAGGAGTGCGAAACCAGCCTGAGCAAGAGCGAGACCCCGTCTCTACTATAAATAGAAAGAAATTAATTGGCCAACTAAAAATATATAGAAAAAATTAGCCGGGCATGGTGGTGCATGCCTGTAGTCCCAGCTACTCGGGAGGCTGAGGCAGCAGGATTGCTTGAGCCCAGGAGTCTGAGGTTGCTGTGAGCTAGGCTGATGCCATGGCACTCACTCTAGCCTGGGCAACAAAGTGAGACTCTGTCTCAAAAAAAAAAAAAAAAAAAAGAAAAATTACTCACAACACCATCAACTTGAAAAAACAGCTACACCCTGCGACTATTCTGCTCCTGGCTCCCTGGGCATTCGTGCTGAGGTGCGCCGAGCAGAACCCACACCCTCCCGGCACCTGCGTGAGCGGAACGTACTTCATCCTTCGACATGCACCATCCTGCTAGCACTCCCACAGCCAATAAAACAAAACAAAACACGTGCAAAGTTGCTTTCTGGTGCACTGCTCGACTACAAACAGCACATAATTTATGAAAACGATGTCCGCACATCAAGTTCTTAAGTCACATGCAGGACAGGATGAGGAGGGGGACCTCGGCGCCCCTCCCGAGCCACGCTGGCACCTGCCTCTCAGGATGACGTGGCCGCCGTTGCCTCCATCCCCACCGTCCGGGCCTCCAAACTCCTTGCGGGGCTCGCTGTGGAAGCAGCTCGCCCCGGCACCTCCATTGCCACCGCGCACGAGCACTCTCCGCTGGTCTACGAAGTGCCTTTTCTGCAGAGAGCACAACACGGCCGCGTCACCACAGACTCTCCGAACTCCTCCCAACAGACACAGCATCCGCTGCCGTGGGCCTTTCCTAGGACACCTTTAAAGTTAGACGCTGATATTGACATTGCTAATCTCCCCTAAAATCCAAAGACAAAAAACAGTTCCTGCGAGTCACTCGTAATCACAGGCGTGATAAATCAGTAATGAAGGGAGGTCAGTACGGAATACACACTTCAGAAACGAACTCAGCATTTCTAACTTGCAGAAAACAGACCTTGTTTAGAAAACGTTCCTTAAATACAATGTCTTTCCACCTTTCTCCTCCCACACAGAAACACAGTACTCGAAGAATAGGTTTTTACTAATGGGAAGTTTTAGTTCCTTAGGATGCGACGGGGAAGAAGAGAGTTGACGTCCTTCCTGGACAACTACCAGGCTTTCAACTCTGAAGAAAGAATGTTTTCTACGGCCAGACAAAGACAGCGCTTATTTTTAAAATGCGGTGATACAAACACAGCCCCTGATTTGAGATAAAGTTTTCCTGCACGTCCCTAACGTAGGCGCATTCTGGCTAAAGGACGGGGACTAAGTTAATACATAGCACACATCAGCTCGCACTGTAAGAAGTCAGTGCCAGAGGCCCCAGGGTGCAGGGTCCGCGGTGCACCCTCCACAGGCTGCCCGCCTTCTGCACACCTGTGCAGATAGACACGCCCCCAACCCCGCAGGCACCCACGCACCTGCATTTCCATCCAACGCTCCATAAATGCATCTTTTTTTTTCTTAAAGAAAATACACAAATATTCTAGGGCTGGGCATGGTGACTCACGCCTGTAATCCTAGCACTCTGGGAGGCCCAGGCGGGCGGATTGCTCAAGGTCAGGTGTTCAAGACCAGCCTGAGCAAGAGCGAGACCCCGTCTCTACTAAAAACAGAAAGAAATTAATCAGCAAACTAAAAATATATATACAAAAAACTAGCCGGGCATGGTGGCGCATGCCTATAGTCCCAGCTACTCAGGAGGCTGAGGCAGGAGGATGGCTTGAGCCCAGGAGTTTGAGGTTGCTGTGAGCTAGGCTGACGCCACGGCACTCACTCTAGCCTGGGCAACAAAGCGAGACTCTGTCTCAAAAAAAAAAAAAAAAAAGAAAGAAAGAAAATACACGAATATTTTAAGATTCTTTGGCACCACCACGTGGAGAAACCATGAATTACTATCTCTAAAACTCAACCTATAATTTTGTTACATGCCAACACAATCAAAATCCACCTGACAGGAAGAAGAGCACAACTGGCGAGCACTGCACGGCAGAGAACTGGAACCACTTTCCATCTGTTGGGGAAGAGACGAAGCCACGTGGAACTCTGGCCATATGAGTGCGTGTCCTGCCAGGAGCACCGTCCTGTGCCGTCCAGCCCTCCGTGTGGGAGGAAGGGACCTGGGTCATGAACATGTGCTTTCTTGCACTTATTAAAAGACCGTTCACGTTTCAAATAAGTTTTGGCAAACGGAACAAGAACAGCGTATAGGGCTTAGAGAAGGACAAGAGGTCCCTTGTCCCCTAGACGTTCTCAGCTAGGAAACGCAGGTACCCCTGAAGGACATGCACGACACAGGGAAGACACAGGCCAGTGACGGGCAAGCAGGCCTGCGCCCCAGCCTGCCCGCGGGAATCAACACCGTCCCACCTCCCCGCCCCTGGGGGCCGGCCTCCGGCTGCGTCCATGAAGCCCAGCATGGCGCAGGCCTCCCTGCGTAACCCTGCGCACTAGCCACGGGACCGCCGGAGACGACGGAGGAGAAGTCAGCACGCCCTGTGCCCTCCGAGGAGGAAACTGCAGCCAGCTGCCCTAAGCCGAGAGTCTCACCAGCTTTTTCTCAGACAGCAGCTTCTTCCTGGGGGGCTCCTGGTGCTTGGCGCCGTCTGCGCGGCCGACCGAGAGCAGCCGGGGCGCAGCCCGCCTCGGAAGGCGCCGGCCCGCGCCCTCGAACACGGTCCACGGTCTTGCTGAGAAAAGCCTTGAGAGTATCATGGCCCCCTGAAAAGAGTCAAATTTGGAAAGTAAGTTTACTAATTAATCGTAGCTCAGTTTAAACCTGAATGAACATCAAACGAGACTAAAGCAAAGCGGCTGGCACGTGGAGAATCTCCAGGTGGGTTTATCAAGCAAACGGGTGAACACGGACCCCACTTTCTTATGCCATTCACCACAGGTGACCCTGCGGCAGGCCCTGTCCCCGGCCTGCCAGCCTATCTGCTGCCTGGGGCCAGATCTGGATTTGTGTGCAAGCGACTTAAACATTAAATCTCCTGTGACACTGAATGCTCACCGCTACGAAATATCCAGGACCTGCTCAGGAAAACATTAAAAAGGAAATTTGTAACTTCAAGTCAAAATTTCTTCAAAATAAAAATATCCACCTCCTCAAGTGTTACTGTGTTATCTTGTGTGGTTATAAGGTCACTAAACTGGAAAACAAGAGCACTGAACACAGAGAATGGCAGCTGGAAACAAACCGCCACCTTTGCGGCTCATCTTGGTGCAACCCTGGGAAGGCCACGCTCCTGTGCTGCCCCGGTCTCCTCCCCGTCACTGGACACGGCTGGGTGAGGATAGCGGCGCCGGCGCCCACGGACGCACACGGCAGTGCCTGGCTGTCATACCGTGACCTCATAAGAAACACACTCAGTCTCTGCCCCAGTCCTTGACACACAGCTCTTGGAACCCCTGTGATTTCCTGAGTAACGGGTGACAGGAGCACGTGACACGGGGCTCCTGAGTCCCTTTGGAGCTTCCTGGGTGACTGTAGAGTCTTCTGTTCCGATGAGGTGACTATTGGCAGGTCCTGGACAGCTTCACATGGGGGCTGGTCAGCAGAAAGGCCAGGCCATGTGAGAAGCCCGGCTCCTTCGGCCCCATCCTCTGCGGAGGGCAGGGCCTGGAGACCGAGTCGGTAACTGGAACCCACAGGCCTTAAGGTCTGGGAAGCTTCCCGTTGGGGAACACCCCGTGCCGGCAGGGTGGTCCGCCCGGCCCCCCAGGGACAGATGCTCCCGCACGCGGGTCCCTGTGGGCCTCGCCCCGTGCACCCCTACACCTGGCCATTCACCCGCATCCTTTGTAACATCCTTTCTACCAAACCGGGAAATGTGAATCATGTGTCTTCTGAGTTCCCCGACAGCAAACTACGAAAGTAAGGAGGGGGCTCTAGGTGCCCCCTATTTGCAGCCAAGTTGGACAGAAGTGAGGTACCCTGGGGACCCCGACTTGTGACTGGCATCTGAAATGGGGGCATCTGCGTGGCTGAGCCCTCAACCGGCGGGGGCTGCGGTAACTGCAGGTAGGGTCAGAACTGAACTGGTATCCGCAGAGGACGGGGGCAGGCCTGGTGCCAACAGCCACACACGTGGTGTCAGACGTGTGGTGTGGGCAGAGACGGAGCCTGGTAGCAGCGTCGTGGGCACATGTGGGTGCTCGGGAAGTCCGAGCTGCTCGTCACCCATGAAGCCTCACTCACACCGTCGCTCGCACCGTGGATGGCTCCTGACGGCTGAGTGTCTGTCCTGCAGGCGCTGCGGGTAATGGGGACACCGCCCCCGCCCCCCAGGGAAGGACAGCCCCCCGTCCTTCGCCAGGACAGACAGCCCCGCTCCCAGGGGGCCCTGCTGTGTGTGTCCCACGTGAGAGAAAACTCAGAGCCCCTCATTTTAAAGTATGACATATATACACGGAAGGGGATAAAATGTATGCATACTGTTTAAACATCACCACAAAGCCAGCAAGTGTGGGACACACCAGTCCCTCATGGGGGCCTCCCCTCCACCCCCGCCACCCCCTGCTCCTCTGAAGAGGAGACTCTTTCTTTGTGGTGGTCACTCCCTTAGTGAGGCACTCAACAGTTTTGCTTTTAATTCTGAAGTGATCACAGTTACAGAAAAGTTAGAATAACACAAAGAACTTTTTCCTGAATAATTTGAGAGTACGCTGCCAACCTGACACCCCTCACCCGGGACACTTCCCCGTGTGCCCCCCCAGACAAGGGCGTCCCCTGCAGAACCAGGGGTGCCATTGAAGCCAGGCCATGAGCAGTGGTCCACGACTGTCGGCCACTGCTCAGGCCCCCGAGTGGGGCTGTCCCCGCAGTGGCTTTGCCAGCAGGAGGGTCCACGTGCCCATCACGGCTGTGTTCAGCTGTCGCGCCGCCTCGGTCTCCTTTGGGCTGGAACATTCCTGACTCTCATGCCCATGGCACCAGGAAGTGTACAGGCCAGCTGTCTGCAGAACACCCTAGTTTCCAGTTCAACCCACAGGGCCCGCCACTCTTCCTTTTCTGTCTGTGCAACTCCATTCTCTGACTGTAAGGGTGCTTGCTTGTCACTCCTCGTGCCTCCACTCTCGTCACCTCTGTTTGCTCAGCACCCCTGGACCCCCGCCCTCGCCCCACCACCCTCCCCTCCAGTGTCCTCCTCTCCCTATGCTAGGCCACCCCTCCATGGGGACACCCTCTTCTTGCTAGCCTTCCTGTTGATATATCATAAATAACCCTTTGCTTTGGGATGATTTTAGATTCGCAGACAAGTTGCGAAGGTATTCGCACGACTTCTTCCCCGTGTTGTCCTCACAGCGGCACCTGCCGTGACCACAGCACATCTGTCAAAGCTAGAAGCCAACACTGGTCTGTGGCTATTAACTAAACCCCAGAGGGGGTCTGGGTTTCACCGGTTTTTCTAGTAACGTCCCTTCTCCGTTCCAGGATCCCACGCTGCACGGAACCACCGCGGAATGACAGCCAAGTGCTGGAAGAAAAGAGCCATCTTCTGTGCCCAGTGAAAACATCCTCAGGAAGGCAAAATAAAGACCTCCTCAGACAGTGCAAAACTACAAGAATGTGTCACTCATATACCTGCTGTACCCAGAACATGAAAGGAAGTTCTTCAGGATGGAGGAATTTGATACCAGAGGGAAGCCTGGATTTTGAGAAGTAAAGGAAGAGCAACAGAAATGGAAAATATAAAAGACTATTTGTTTTCTTCCTTAAGAGTTTTATATATGTTGATTATAGAAAGAAAAATATATAAAACTGTCTAGTGGGCTTCTGATCCGTATAGAGGCAATCACACAAAAACGTACAAAAGGGTCAGGAGCAGAGTAAAGTGCCTCACGTGGTGGTGAGGTCTCGGGCTCTGCAAGGGCAGGTCCTAGCTCTGCCCGACTGCCGCCCCACAGCAGTTACTAGCATGTCACACAGAGAGACAGACCCAGAAAGCCAGCAGATATAGTAAATGAAATACTAAAAACTATTCAAACACTTCAAAAAAGGATAATAGAGAACAAAAAATAGAGAGGACAAACAGAACGCAAATAGTAAATACCTGAGTCTAACCATGCAAATTATTCCATTAAATGTTAATAATTTAGAAATTCCAATTTAAAGGCAGAGATTGCAAAGTGGATTAAAAGTTAGACTCTATCCTATGCTGCCTACAATAGACATTTTAATTACAGGAAAATTGCTTAAGCCCAGGAGTTCAGGGCTGCAATGAGCTATGATCAGGACACTGCACTTCGGCCTAGGTGATAGAGTGAGACTTCATCTCCAAAAAAATAAATAAATATTTTGAACTAAATGATAATAAAAATGCAAAATACCAAAATTTATGGGATACAGCTAAGTAGCGCTTAGAAAGAAGTTTACAGCTCTAAAAGCTTAAATTAGTAAAGAGGCTGGCTGTGGTGGCTCACACCTGTAATCCTAGCACTCTGGGAGGACCAGGAGGGAGAATCGCTTGAGTTCAGGAGTTGGAGGCTGCTGTGAGCTACAACGATGCCACTGCACTCTACCTGGGCGACAGAGTGAGACTGTCTCAAGAAAGAATAAAAAAAAAAGCCGGGCGCGGTGGCTCACGCCTGTAATCCTAGCACTCTGGGAGGCTGAGGCGGGCGGATTGCTCGAGGTCAGGAGTTCGAAACCAGCCTGAGCAAGAGTGAGACCCCGTCTCTACTATAAATAGAAAGAAATTAATTGGCCAACTAACATATATATATATAAAATTAGCGGCCGGGCGCTGTGGCTCACGCCTGTAATCCTAGCTCTTGGGAGGCCGAGGCGGGCGGATTGCTCAAGGTCAGGAGTTCAAAACCAGCCTGAGCAAGAGCGAGACCCCGTCTCTACTATAAACAGAAAGAAATTAATTGGCCAACTGATATATATATTAAAAAAAAATTAGCCGGGCATAGTGGCGCATGCCTGTAGTCCCAGCTACTCGGGAGGCTGAGGCAGCAGGATTACTTGAGCCCAGGAGTTTGAGGTTGCTGTGAGCTAGGCTGACGCCACGGCACTCACTCTAGCCTGGACAACAAAGTGAGACTCTGTCTCAAAAAAAAAAAAAAAAAAAATCAAAAAAAAAATCAATTAAAATTAGCTGGGCATGGTGGCGCATGCCTGTAGTCCCAGCTACTCGGGAGGCTGAGGCAGAAGGATTGCTTGAGCCCAGGAGATTGAGGTTGCTGTGAGCTAGGCTGGCGCCACGGCACTCACTCTAGCCTGGTCAACAAGCGAGACTCTGTCTCAAAAAAAAAAAAAAGAATAAAAAAAAAGGAAATTGAACTCCCCTTCTTACTGCCCCCTTTTAATTAAAAAAAAAAGTCAAGATCTAAAACCAATAACCTAAAGTTCCAAATCAAGAAAACAGAAAAAGAGCAAAGCAAGCCTAAAGTTAGTAGAAGGAAGGAAATAATAAAGAACAGAAATAAACAAAGGAGAAAATAGAAAGACAATTTAAAAAATAACAGGAAAAACCCTGGCTCATTGAAAAGGCAAACTGAACTGACAGCCTGTGGCCAGCCTGCCCGGGGAAGGACGAGAGCTCTAGTCGCCAACACCAGGAATCGACGGCGGTTATCAATCTGACCCCGCAGACAGCAAAGGACAAGACAGCACCATGAACAACTTCCTGCCGACAAATTCCACTTACATGAAACAGCAAATTTCTTGAGAAATGAAACTTACCAAATAAACACAAGAAGAAACAGCCATTTTAAATAGCCCTCTATTGACTCAAGAAGTTGAATTTGTTATAAAAGAAGATTCCTCAAACAAAAACTCCAGACTCAGATTATTTTCCTGGTAAATCCCAGCAAACAGTCAAGACATAAATAACACCAATCTTCCACAAAGTTTTTCAGAAAACAGAGGACGTAAGGTCACTATCCAACTCATCCTGTGAGGCCCTAGTACCAAAACCTGACCTTACAAGAAAAGGAAATTACAAACCAATATCCTTCATGAATACAGATGCAAAGAACTCCTAACAAAATATTAATCAATTGGATCCGGCAGTCCAGAAAGGATCACACGTGGAGACCCAGGAGGGCTTCCGCAGGGACACACGGCCATGTCAGCGGTCAGAGCTCAGCCAGCGCACCTCACATCGACGTGCACGAGACAGAATTCAATGCACACTCGGGATCAGGAAAACCAAACGCCCAGCAAGCTAGGGACAGACGGGCATCTGCACCCTCTGAAAGGGCATCTGCCAAAGACCACAGCTCACCACACTTAATGGAGAAAGACTGAACTGTTACCCCTCGAGTTCGAGAAAAAGGCCAGGATTCCCCCACTGCTGTGCAACACTGTCCTTTCAGACGCTGCAGTAAAGAAAAAAAAGGATGAAGTATAACTGTCCCTATTTACAGAACAGATGTTGATTCCACAGAAAATCCCAAGGGAATCTACCAAATGACAATTAACAACAAATGAACTGAGCAAGGTTGCAGGTTATTAGGTTAACATAAAAAAATCAACTATTCTTATAACAGCAGCAAACAACTGAAAATTAAAATTTAAAATCCCATTTGTGCCAAATACAAAAAGTACCTAGAAATAAATACAACAATAAACATCCAAGACCGCCACTTCACTACCTGCAAGATACTGTCCTAAGTATTTTTCAGGGGTTAACTCATTTAGTCTTCATAAAAACTGTGAGGAAAGTACTTTCATTACCCCTGCTCTACAGATGAGGAAACTGAGGCAAAGACAGGTGCAGAGACTTATGGAGCCGGAGCTATTGCTGGGACGCAGAGGGTGGAGTGCAGAGACAGCTGCCAGGGGAAAGCCAGCAGCTCACGGGGCCACACGGACACATCCACAGCTGGGCCCACAGAGTCATGCCGTCATCCTGGCACTCTGGAATCCAGGCTTCCCGACACGGGTGACACGACACCTGAGGAGCAGTCACAGGGAAGGGGGTCAATTGCAAAGCCACCTGGAGCCCTGGACTCTGCATCCTGCCTAACTTGGCACAGTCCTTGTTTCTGCCCTGTTTGTTGGGAGACTGAGAGACACGGTTCTCCCTTGTCAGACGCACAAATTCGACTCGGTTCTGTGCTGCCGTCTGGTGGCATTTGCCTTCTACTAAGGACATCCTTATTTTGTGTCTCATTCAACCTTTACAGTAAAAAAGGAAACAATACAAACAAAATGAATTAATGAAAGCAAAGCAGACGATGCACAGATGATCACAGAAACACACGAGCCGCCACGGCACCGCAGGAGTGGAGAGTGGCGATGGCTCCGCCACAGCACTTGGCTCCACGGGAGGCACGAATGTGACATCCACCTGGCCGTCGAGACAGGGAGGGAGCGGACAGCCTCCTATGCTGAAATAGGGGTTTCAAAGTAAGCTCTTCTTAAAGTCGATTTCTTATAATCCATACGGCTGTGCCTGTGGTGTAGCCGTACTGAGCCCTGATGTTCGCAGATACTGTGTTTGACTAGGTAGACTTGTCACCGGGTTTTACTTAGCTCCCTCGGCAAGCTTGTTCCTGTGACCTCGCCCTCACCTAGAAGAGCTCCTAAAACAGAGTAGGTGCCCCTAAATCTGGAATGAATAGCTGTCTGCTCAAGAACATTTTCAATAAAGGTGCTGGGAGACTAGAAGAAAAGGGACAAGAGACCCTGTGGGAAAAGGGTGGGCCCTCAGATCCTGCAGGGTGGGAACAGGGGTCAGCACTGCCTCAGCAGAAGCATAAAGAACAGTCCTTGAGGTCAGTTTTAGGAAGAAAAATACCAAATGACCTAAATTCTTTTTATTAAATAGACACCCAAGGATGTTCCCTGATTCTCTTCACTGTCTGGCCTGGGGGATGGGGAGTGGGGAAGATGTTAATGACACTGATCCCTCATTTTGGACCTCTTACCCTGCCCAGAGTGCACTGGTGCTGGCCTCATCCTTGTGCCAAAAAATGGGATGGGCAGGTTCACAGGAGGCAGAACAAGGCCTGGCCTGGAGGTGACTCTATTCGGAACTGGAGGTTGCCGATGGGAGGGGTGTTTAGGAAGGGGCCCCAGCCCAGCTCATCCACTGTGGCAGAGTCCGCCTTCTCTGATGGGCTCGCGATGCTGCCACCTGCTCTTGGTCAGGCACATCCTCCTCTTTCTGCTCCAATTTGTAGTTCTTGTGATTTTGCAAAACCCATCCTCGAAGCCCTGGGAGTTATGTTTGTAAGACACAGCTAATCGAACTGCGTCATTGAAGAGCTTTCTTGGGTCATATCTTTATGTCTCCATCATTTTTACTGTCCACCATGAAGCACGAAATCTTTGGTCTGAACTGCTGAAGCTCTGTATACCAGGTGCTCGGGTTCTTACAGGTGACTCTCCTTTGCACATCAAGCACCATGATGCAGGCATGGGCCTTGTGGTAGTAAGAGGCATGCATGTCCACAAGGACATGCAGTCCTTGGCAGTAAGTCCTTGTGGTAGTAAGAGGCATGCATGTCCCAAAAGTCCACAAGGATGGTCTTGCCATCTAAGGTGGCTGTGTGCTTGTACCAGTCAGGGCATGCATGGACAGCTGCTGTGGCTGAAATCCATCCATGAGAAATCTCGACAAGAGTGTGGACTTGTCCACCGCACTGTCCCCAAGGCAGATGATCTACATGTTGTCATCGGCATCCTGCTTCTCTTGGTCCAGCTCATATTGTTTGGTTCTGTCTCTCATCATTGGCTCCTAGCTGTCGAGAGGGGTCCAGCCCCGGGGAAAGGGGTCTTGTCAGTATGGTCCCAGGCAAGGGCTGGAGAGACCAGGGATGCTACAGGCTGACCATGCATGGTGAGGGCCCTTTGGGCCCCACTGTGTCTCCTTAACAAGGATATCCTTATGCTGTCCACACAGTAACTATCAGCCACATGCAATATTAAGTCTGAATTAACTAAAATTAAACAAAATAAAAAACTCAGTTCCTCAGTCTCACAGACCACATGCTAAGTGCTCACAGCCACACGTTTCCAGTGGGTACCGTATTGGACAGGGCAGATTGGAACATTTCCATCATCACAGAAAGTTCTACTGGACAGTGCTGGTCTATACACTGCACAGTGGGAGTCCAGAAAAGTGAACTCAAACTCCTTTTACAGCACCCATTTAGTGAGCACAGCTTATCAAGACAGTGGTGGCAGCCCAGTGTCTGGAGTCTGACAGAGACTGAGATGTTTTATGATTATAGGACAGAGCTTTTTTTTTTTTCAGACAGAGTCTCGCTTTCTTGTCCAGGCTAGAGTGAATACCATGGCGTCAGCCTAGCTCACAGCAACCTCAAACTCCTGGGCTCAAGTAATCCTCCTGCCTCAGCCTCCCGAGTAGCTGGGACTACAGGCATGTGCCACCATGCCCAGCTCATTTTTTGTGTATATATATTAGTTGGCCAATTAATTTCTTTCTATTTATAGTAGAGACGGGGGTCTCGCTCTTGCTCAGGCTGGTTTCGAACTCTGACATCGAGCAACCTCCCCCCTCGGCCTCCCAGAGTGCTAGGATTACAGGTGTGAGTCACTGCGCCCGGCCAGGACAGAGCTTTTAAAAATGCCTTCCAGCCAGGAAGCCCTCTTCCAAGATTCCTTCTCCTGGTTCTGTAACAGCTGCCCCCTTACCCTGTGGAGTCCTGGGAGAGAAACACCTCCACTGTCACTAGCTCCAGGCTAAAGCACCAACTCTGTGCTTTTCCTATCCTCTACCTGTGCAAACAGTTCCTTATTAGCCCTCTTCAAATTATCCTAAACTGAGTACAGTGGAGGCTGAGTGTCAGAGAGGTTAAGTCACTTGCCTGAAGTCACAAAGCATCCTCTCCTCTGGCCTCTCTTGCAAGTTGCCGACACCTGTAATTTTTTTTTACAGCAAGAATCTTCACACTGCGGTATGCACACACAAAGACTTTCTAAGGGAATTAAGGCAAGGATAAGTTTAAGGGAACCGATTTTGTGTTCCTCAACTTTTGGTAAGTTCTCTTTGCTAAAACAGATCTGCCTGAACATGAACTTGCATTGAAAAGAAGAAAGTTCTCCATTCCTCTTTCACAATGGGTCCTTCCCTTTAGAAAAGAATGACACCCCCAAAACAGATTCCTCTAATCCCCATCTACAGATCTCCGTGGATGGCTTTCCTGTGCTTTCTGCTAGAAAAAGGTAAAACACGAACAGAATTGGTAAGAAACCCAGTCTCACTCAGCAAAATTCAACCATGGGTGAGTGCAGTACCTGGAAAACAAGCATCTCACACAGAAGCCCATTTACAACACATAAACGGAAAAGAACCCAAACTCAGTAAAATAGTTTAAAGGTTTATTTTGAGCCAAGTATGAGTGACCACTGATGGGAGCCCTGCCCAGGGAGCCCTGCCCAAGTGGATTCACCGTGGTTGGGTTACAGTTTGGTTCTATACATTTCAAGGAGTCAGGAATTACACATAAAGTCATACATCAATACGTTGTGTTTAAAGATCTTTGATTTGTAATTGGTTAAAGAAAGGAAGCTTTGTCTAAAGGCTTAGAATGTTTTAAGTTAAGACAAAGAAGTCTGCTAGTCAGAGACAAGCAATGGACATACACCCAGACCCAAGCGATCTGTTAGGTAAATCGAGGACCCGCAGGTTTGTCTCGCATGGCCTCAGCCTGTCAATGAGTTACGAAAACTTTTTCCAAGAAGGGAGCGGGCACGACGAGGGCGTCTGAACTCAGCTTTGGGGTATTTCTGGGGTCCCCTGGGCCAAGCGGGGTTCCATTCAGCCGGCTAGAAGGCCTAGGGCTACTGTAGTTCACACTCAGCACGCCGGATCAGAGAAAGTTTCCAAACGGTCTAAGTCGTAATTTACTTCCCGTTCTGTCCCGGTGACAGAGCTCCGTCCGGGCGACCCGCACCCCTGTGGGGACACGACACGCGCCCGGCCGAGCCCTGCCAAGCGGGCGTGGGGGCTCCCGGAGCCCCCCGAGCCTGCAGACGAACCCCGCGATTCTCCCCGCGCCAGGCCGCCCGCGTCCCGCACTCACCTGCCCGGAGGATCACGTCACTTCCGGGGCATCGGACGCGGCGAAGAACTTCCGGGTCGCTCGGCCGGCTCCGCCCCCGGGTCTGGAAGGAAGCCCGCGCCTCCCAGTGCGCATGTGCGGAAGACGCGGCCCGCGGTCCCTGGAGGGAACCGTGCGCTGCTGGACCGGGTCCGCTGTCACCAAGGGTCGGTGCCCCAGGTGCCCGCCCCCCGCGGGCTACCAGTCCACTGCCAGCCGGCTGGGATGGGGTTCCCCGTGGAGGACGGTGCTCCTAGGAAGGAGGGTCGCAGACAAACCACCCCTCAAACTAACGTAAAATCTTAGACCCCCAGCTGGCTGAATGGACCCTCTCTTGGCGGGGGTCGTTAGAAACCCCTCCTCATGCCCCCCCTTCTTGGAGATGTGCTCAGTAACTCCTTTGTTCTGCGCAAGACAGAGCTCAACTACACCCACAGGTCCTCAGTTTACCTAACAGATCACTTGAGCCTGGGTGTGTGGCCTGTGGCTTGTCTCTGGTTGGCGTCTTCCTTATCTTGAAACATGCTAAGCCTTTAGACAAAGCTTCTTTTCTTTAAACAATTACAAATCAAATAATCTTTAAAACAAACCTATAACCTGTAAGGCCCTGCTTCAAGATGTTCCACTTTTGGGGGCCAAACCAATGTACGCCATCCATGTTTTGATTTATGACTTCTTGTAATTCCTGTCTCCTTGAAATGTATAAAACCAAACAGTAAACCAACCACAGGAGACCACCTGCTCAAGGCTTCCTGGGTGTAGCTCCAGGCCATGGTCCTCAAACTTGGCTCAGAATAAACCTCTTTCAATTACTTTGCAGGGTTTGGGTTATTTTCTGTTAACACCTTAAGTCCCATTAACTTCATGAAAACTCACTTTATAGGATGATTTTTGAAGAACCAGTTTATTAGGAATTACACCAAAGCATAAACAACTTATATGCCAAACTCCAACTGAAAAAAAAATTAACCGATAAGGATGTTTTTAAAAAACATACTGTATTCACAAATAACAAGACGAATTTGACCTGTTCAATAAATAGAAATGAAGTAATGGCTAAAAAAATTTTAAGTGGAAATGGAAACAGTCTTCCTCTTTTTACAGTTTTGAAGGGACGCCCGATATTCAAGCCTATACATTTTAAAAACTCTGACAAAACCAGAGGTTCACTTATACTCCTACCCTATGAATATATTAAGGTTTCCTTTCAGATCCTAGAAGATCTCGTCCACCTTAATACTGTTTATAAAGACTCTCTGTGTGAGTTCTGATGAATGTTTTAATACGCTAAGTACCGCTGATTCAACACACCCGAAAGGGTGATGAGCTTTTGTATACCAGTATGAATTTGTCTGCACTTGTGAAAACTGTGGTCATCACTTTTCAAGTTCACAGCTTGCTGCATGTTAGAGGACAACAGGAGAATGAGCATCAGTTTCCGAATCTTCCTTTGCACATTCACCAGCCTGCGGTGGAGGCCGCTTTAAAACACGAAGCACCAGCAACCATACTGCACAAACAATTCGCTTTAGCCTACACATATCCCGACGTTCACATTACAGAAGAGAAGATATAATACAGTTAACAAAAAAGAACTGCTCGTACCACTTTTCCCCACGATACATAAAAATGGACGACACCTTAAATAAACATTCTGTTATTAATCCTTAAATATATTAACACCAAAAATCATGTATAAATTAGGAAATAAATGTACAAACTATTTTGCAAAGTGCTTTTTAAAATATATACACAACATTCAAGATATTCTTAATGTAAGACATTTCAGATTGAAGTTTTGGGATAAGTTTTTTTAAGTGTCCTTTTCTTTCAAAAAGTATTAATACAGCACTTAAAAAAAACCACACACACACACACACACACACACACACACACATAAAAGGCAATTATTCCCAGATTGGCAAGGAATAAAAATAAACTATTTTCACAGTTATCTAAAATGTTTAACATTTTCAATGGGAAATTTTAGTCCCCAATTGAGTTGCAAATTAGTTCTATGAAAATTGTCAGAAAGGAAGAGAACAAAATCAAGGGAGATGAGTCCCTAAATGAAATTGCTGATACCTCTGTCATTTAACAATTAAGAACTCTCATTTCAGTAATTTAATATGGACATATTACATATATTTCCAAGCCCTTACCAGTATTAAGGGTTTTTAAAACCCTTGTGCCTACCCAATAAACGCGTCTATCCTCATTTCTGTGTGCTATCTGTCTCCCAGAGGAGGGGAGAATGGCCTGGAATAGGACTGGCACTCAGCACAGGCAAGTCTACTCTGAGCCTCGGTTCCTCATCTGTGAAATGGGAACAGTAACTGCTCTACGTCTCCCCACCTGGGCTGTTGGGGTTAAATCAAGCAAAAACTATCAAAGTGCCTTGTAAATTCTAAAGCACTCAACTCTGGATAAAGTATTATAATACTTTTAATTTTTAAAACATAAAATTTATCAATGAAAGAAAAACAGCAGCAGCAGGCATAATATATCAAGCATTGGATTTTTTTGCATTTCCTGGGTAGTTGTTGCCAATATGTCAGTATTTATCCAAAGATTTTTTTTGAAAAAGGTTTCATAGTAAATATCAATATTATTATCCAAGTAAAGGTCGATCGAATGTCCATGCGACTTATCAGTGGAAAAGCAGGACTTCTTCCCTCTGACCATACTTTCCCAAGTGAGCTGTCTTTACTGTCTCACAGAATTTAAGTGGGATTCAACGTCCTAGGAATGTAAAAATTACTCAAACTTATCTATATAAAACCTTCACTTTCATTAGAAAGAACACAATAAAGTTACTGGGGTTCCTTTTAAAAATAAGGTGTGAATGTCAGATATCCCTAAAAGAAAAGGAACACTCGCTTGGAGATCTGAACAAGTAGGTCCTGGAAGAAATAATATAAAATAAACAACTTGCCAACCATTTGGAAAACTTGGTATCAATATTTGAAATATTCTACACATTTAGAATTGGGGATATTAAATATTCAAATCCCAGAAATGACTGTCCGACAAACAAGGGTCAAAGCCAGAGTAATTCCCAGAGGACCCCCCCTTCCTTCCATGAATCCCTCTCCCTGGGTTCAGCTAACCGCACACGGCTCGTGGGTTCGTGGTTATTTGAAATGTAATCATTGATCCCGCTTTACTTTTCAGCACGAAAACATGCACCTTTCTGGATAAATGGAGCTGGCGAGACAGAGGTAAGAGCGAGCTCCCGGGGACCGTCGCGGCCTCTGCACCTGAACTGTGCTGATCCCTTTCCTGTGTGACAGAAACAGACGCCCCGACACAGAAGACACCCCACCCGCCCCTGGGGGCACGGGAAGCGCTGCCACCCAGGGGCCGCACGCCTGTCGAGCTGCGGGGTGGCCGGTAGGAGAAAAGTCACAACCCACGACGGGACCACTGCCGGAGGGGAGGGGTCTGCTCACAGAAACACGAGGACGGTGGTGTCTTCTAGGTGCGTCCCATCGCTGGGCACTGAATGCTCTGATGGCAAAACGACCCCCAAGGCTAGCTAGAAACATCAAGAAGGGCGGGGACAAAGACAGCACGGCCTCTCCATCGCCGGCGCACAATACTATACACAGCACCAGATGTGTCGCAGCCCCGGAGCTCGGTCTCGCGCCAGCGGTGCACGCCCGGCGTCATACCCAGCGTGAAATAAGCGCGCTTCACATGCAGACGTGGCACTGGGCGAAGGGGTAACCGACACGTCACGCTTCATCAGAACTGCCACCGGCCCGTCCATCCCCTGGATGGACTCGCAGCCACAGGGCTCCAACAGGGACGCTTGTCCCTTACTGCTGGTAATTTCCATACTGGCCCTGAAAGAGACCAAGACACAGATTATACCCCACAGTCATGAGCAAGAGGGTCCACACGCTGAGGTCAGACGGCCCCATCCCAGCCAGCGCCAGGTCAGCAGGTGGCAGGAGGAGCCAAGGCGAGCAAACAGCCTCCGCCGGGCCTAGGCAGGAGGGAGCTGGCTTTCCGGAAGCCACCACCCCAGCCTGCGGCTGACAGTGCGGATCAGAGAAAGTCATACAGGGCTGCTCATTCGGTCACACTCTGGCTCTTGGCGGGCTGGGCCTGGCCAGGTGCCAAACATCAGATTCGGCACTGACCCCGGTGGGAAGGAAGCCGCCCCCAGCCAGTGCCCGCTCAGGAGCTCAGTCCCATGGGGACTGAAGGCAAACGCTGGCCCCCCAGGCTGCAGAATTAAGAAGACGGGTGGGGGACAACCAGGGTAACGGGTTTTAGTCAATACAAAGTCTCAGGAAGAGAGAACTGGGGGCCTGTGTTCAGCGAGGCCACAGGGCAGGGGGTTCCCTGGGCAGCTGGACAGACTCCCTGACCCTTGGGGAAAGTCACCTGGGGGTGCCACAGCTGAAGGAAACTGTCACTCATCTCAGTGCCCCGATTCTCTGCTCCCCCTCACCTGTGAGTGATCAGAGGTCGGGTGCTTTCAGCTAGGAGGTCAGCAGGGAGGAACGGCGCCAGGCACCTGTCCGCCGTGTGACCCCGAGAGTGCTGGCTATTGTGAGGCCAGCTAGCAGGAGTCAGTTCTAGTAAGTCTTCCCCCCGTACACAGCCGGTCAGATGGAACCCCAAGCTGGAGCTGATCCTCCAGGGAGCGCTTCCGAGCTGTTTCCTTACATGCCGGCCGGGTGTGCCCGCTGCCCGGTCCGCCCTGAGAGTGGGCTCGTCTACACCACGCTGACCTGCAGATTTCTCTAGGCCTAACGGGCTCACGCTTTTCCCTCCCGAGTAAGCAGGACGAGTGGCAGTTAAAAGCACCGCTCAGCGTCTTAACACCCAGGGCAGGACAGCCGCCCAGCCGGCGCGGGGCTCTGAGGCCTCATCAGCTGCCCAGACTCAGCACGGCCCCACCTAGCGCACACCACCGGTGGATGGTCGCCTCTTGCTAAGGACTTTTCACCCTGACCATCAGTGTGAAAAAAAATTTAATTTCATTTATAAAAGTAAAAAAAAAAAAAAAAAAAAAGAAATAAAAAGGACTCTCT